GGAAGCCTTTCCGCGTTAAAGACCGGGTCGTGAAAGGCTGGTTCGTCACAAGCGCTGACGCGGGCACACGGAGAGGTTTCGCCATGAGGCCAGCTTTGTCTAGTGCAGCATTGAAGACTGCCTCCGGGCTCCCTTCGGCTGTGGAACTGGTTATCCATCGAGTCCGACAACAGCCGAGAGCACACGATACACGTGCTACAGGCGGAATATGTACCAATATTGATAGGTGCGAGCAGCAGCATGTTGTCAAAGGGTGATGCCGTCTGCAAGCTAAGCAAGGCACGGGCCTGTCGATGGTGAGGGCCATTGGCTCACACGTACGAGTCGGCACAAACAGCCTTAAAAGCCAAACGGTGTAGTATCTTAGGTGTCATAGTTCGCGATGATTATTGTACGCTTGCGATTGGTAAGTGCTACGCAGTCTACTTGAATTCCTTAAGGGAGGGATCAAACATGGTCTTAGTATGGTTCACATAAAAACCACATGGTCGTATGAATGGATTGAATGTGGCAACAGCAATCTAGGAATATTGTTACTGTCTGCTTTTCGCAAAGGCCGCCTTAGTTTGGTATCGGGGTGCCGTACGTTTAATTTACAAGGAGCTGCATGCAAGGAACTGCTTTGCGGGTTCTCCTCTGATAGACTCTCTACGTACCCCAACTCAATCTCAATCCCTCCACAGTCAATCTCAATCCCCCCGTCAGTCTATCTCAATCCCCGGTTGATCTATCCCAATCCTGGCGACCACCCTACCAACTCAATCCAACCGTACTTGCCATCCCTCCTTATAGTCTCGGGACTGCATCTTCATCGTGGCCGTTAGCCCTTGACACAGCGGTAACAGGCGCGACAACATCGGCCATGCCACTCTCGTCCTCACTATCACTCTGTGCGACAGTGCTGGCTGTTCCCACCTCCTGGATGCACGACACCACGAGCTCAGCAGTCATGCGCCGTCCCTCCTCGTTATGATACCTTAAGACACGTTCCCAGGCCAGCCTTGCCACGCCTGGTTCGCATCGTGTCAATGGCCGGACCAGCCGTTCATACTGTGGCACAGGCATGGAAGGTGGCAAAGACCGGATGAAACGAGCAGCCGCCACCCATGCCCTCGCTTGTCGGTACCCAAACCCCAGCGACTTCCTCTCAAGAATATACGCGCGGAATGACTTGTACCCTTCCGCCTCAAACAGATGCTGCTCGGCGATATCCAGCAGCGCACAGCTGGCTTCCACAAAAAACCCACCAGCGGCCATGGTGACACGTGCCTCAGCTTCCCCGAGGGTCCGTGCACGCGCAACAGCGTACGGTGCTCTGCACATAGCCAACATATAGTCGTGTAATGGCACACAACGTCATTCATGAATCGGAGCAAATGCAAAGAAGTAATGAAATGGCTAATGAATTGAAAGCAGTCAGTCCTCACACAACTAGACAGTGACCTCGTAGGCGTACTGCGCATGTGGCTCTTTATCCGTTCCCCTGCAGCCGAACTTATAGCACGTCATCCCGCCAACCTTATTAATATGGACTTTAGCGATGGCCCTGTAACAATGGCAGCACGTGGTCAGTAGGTGGTCTTCCAAGCAAACCGGACATTGGTTCCAGTGCCAAAGCTTGTCCGCACCCTTGCAGACCTCACCGGACCCCATTCGCGTGTACACAAAGGTGTCCTCGCTGGGTGAGGCCACACTTGATCCTGGTCCCCGTGGCAGGTCTTCATACCTCCCGGGAGACATGCCGTGCTCCTCCGGCTCAGCCTCTACACCCGCATCGTTGCCATCACCCTCCCAGGGGTCGTCAATGTCGATGCCGGCTGCACCCGACGAGCCCATAGCGCCATATGCAGAGGCTCCAGAACCCAGTCGCTGCCGTTGTTCGTCCTGTTGGTGGTAGGCAGGGAAAGTGTCGTCCAGCAACTGCTCCTGTGGTGTTGACTGCCGCCACGGCAGCGGCGTTGGCTTGTGCTGTGGCTGCTGTATGGGATACCGCCACTGCTGCTGAAGCTGTCCCTCCATGCTGTCTCCACCACGTTGCTGTGCCTGCTGGTGTCGCTGGAGCCCCCGGTACTGCGGCCGTGGTCGCTGCTGTTGCTGCTGCAGCAGCCCCGTATGCTTCCGTCCAGCACCCATTTGGTCCGGCAGCGGCGCCTCATAGTCGCCACCAGCCGGTCCGTACACCCCACTACCACCGTGAGCTGAAGCTGCACCCCTCTGCAACCCGGCGACACCGGCACCCCTGGGCAGGCACACACCGCGGTTCATGCCCGGCGGCAGGCCGTGGGTCCGCAAATGTGGCAGCGGAGGCAGTGGAGGGGTCGTGCGGTCAGGATGAACATGGGCGGCTGTGGCAGTGGGAGCGCGCTGATACACATCCGGCGCGTCTGGTTGCATGGCGGGGGCGCCAGCAACAGGCACTCGCTCCGCCTTCTTGACGAGAAAAGGATCGAGTCGCACAAACCCAAATTGGACTTGAGGCTGCTTGTTAAAGGTCTCGGGCCGCTGCCGTGCTCGCAAGGTTATCATGGCGAGGTTAGCCTTGTGGGTGTCGGTCTTCAGGTGGTTTCGTAAATTGGCGGTTGCTGACGACACCGAAGCTATCGGCCTATAGCCACCTGCAGTCGACGCGAACCTGGCATCAGCCACATCGGCCGGGACGTCAGGCCCCCGTGCTCGCTTCTTGTCTCGTCCTTTGCCACTACCACCACTTGATGTACCAGCGGCGGCAGGCCCCACCTCCGCCAGTTCCATCGACCGTGCTCGCCTCTTGCCCAGCATTTTATCACTACCGCCAACAGCCACGCCAGCCCCCGCCCCCGCACTCGCATCGGCCTCCGCTGAGTACCAACCACTCGCCGCACTTGACAGCTTGCGGGGAAAAGGGTTGGGTGGTGGCACGGGTGGCAGTACGCCTAGGTTACAGGCCTCGCACCAGATGAGCCCCGGTACCGCCTGGTCGCTGGACCCGCCTGCCTCTGCTGCATACACGATGGATCCATCCTTGTTGGCATTGACGGAGATGACACTGAATACACGCTGGTCCAGCGGCGGTGGCTCGTCAGCATTGACAGGGTACTTGTGCACCAGCGCCAAGTTCACGCAATTCTCCCCGCCGTTCATCGTTTGGTCAAGGCCCTCCTGAGGGTCGAGGAAAAGAAACTCACTACAGTCAGAAGATACAGCGAAAGGCAGCAAGCATGACCAAGTAACTGTGTGCCGAACAAGGAATCTCTTGCCCCCCAAAAGCATGCGCTCCGTTGTGGAAGTACTGCTGAGCTCACACGAGTGTACTCACCGCGATCCGCCTCGCCATGTCCTCGCTCGACCCGCGGCGAGCAGTCGAGGGTACAGGAGCTGTCGGACCAGCAGGCGCGGCCCATTCCGCAAGGGCCAGCTTAACTGCGTCGTTGCACTTAACTTTTCCAAGGGCAACGAGGGCCGCTTGTCCAGCTGGGCAGCTTATCCCTCCTTCAAAATGCTCCTTATGGTGCTTTCCTGTGGCATGGATAATCAACCCTTTCAGTGTTATCGATGTGCGTCCGTTTCGGAGATCCGGTCATTCATGGCCTGCCTCGATTGTTTGAACGCGATGTAATAAGCGGTCTGAAACATATATCAAAATGTGAATCACTAAGTTGCACAATCTCCCGGAACAACTGGACACGACAACCGCGACCCTGCGCAACAACCTACTTCCGACACTCCGAGCGATGTCCGCTGCGGACTGAAGCCCATGCTCCATGAGAGAATCTATGAAAGCCTTGTCCCTCCCCGAAGGCTCCAGTTCCATGCCTCCACCGCTCCGCGGCCGGCATAGATGCACAGCCAGCGGCCAATCGAACTGCTGCTCCACGAGCGATTCTACCTACGGGTACAGAAAGGACATACGTTAAGGTTACTTCCTCAACTCGAAGCAAGGTAAACACTTCCATTCCTCGGTAGCCATTTTGTCATTGTGAGCCAGTGGCTCACAAGTGCTGTCAGTCGCGCCAACCTACCTGCTCTGACCAGGATGAAACCATAGCTTTTCCTCGTGAATGTGACGTGACACCCTCGTCGTCGCCGGTGTCCAAGGACGGTTCGGAAAGTCCGGAAGGGTCAGACATCCTCAGAACACGAGAGTCAGTTTCATTAGACAAACAAAAGTTATGTAACCCGTTTCAGTTGGGGTACGTAGAGAGTCTATCAGAGGAGAACCCGCAAAGCAGTTCCTTGCATGCAGCTCCTTGTAAATTAAACGTACGGCACCCCGATACCAAACTAAGGCGGCCTTTGCGAAAAGCAGACAGTAACAATATTCCTAGATTGCTGTTGCCACATTCAATCCATTCATACGACCATGTGGTTTTTATGTGAACCATACTAAGACCATGTTTGATCCCGTGCCTTGCTTAGCTTGCAGACGGCATCACCCTTTGACAACATGCTGCTGCTCGCACCTATCAATATAACCAATCCCAATGCGTGAGCTACGCCAAAACGTGGCGACATCCCGCCAGGACAAGATCAAATCTACAAGTTTATGGGTCAGGGGTCAGCGCCGGCGTCGTAATTCGCTCCAAGTGAAGCTCTGCCCGCTGCAAGCGCGGCACCGGCACAAATAACTTTGCTCAGACGCGATGCCCAAAGCATAGCCCGGGCGCCGTTGACTCTATTTACTAATTAGTGCGCAAGCACCAGCCCTGGAAAAGTGCTGCAGCTGCGGTATGGTGATTTCCAGGGTAGGGGAAATGGGTCGCCGTTAGCTCACTGGCTCTGATGTCATGTGCTAGTGAGCATCCTCGCGCTTAGGGTTTCCGGGCGTCGGTCCTGCTTCGGGTGAACCCTCTTCGGTCAAGGAGTGAGCGACTCACGTGGTAGAATAGTGTGGCTGGAGTTGTATTTTCTCATCATTTTTCACTTTTAGGTCCATTCGAGCAAGCCCTGAGCAAACTCCGTTATTCGAACCCGCATGGTGCAGCATGGTAAAGCCGTTCAGCAGAGCCCGATGCATCATCCGAGGGTGTCATATGTTCGAAACATTTCTTCATGCGGCCGGCAAGCTGACAGTTCCTGGCGAGCCGGGTCTTCGAGTTTGCCGGCCGTGGGGCGGTCCAACCCCCACATGACGCTTTTCACAACCACCACTGACGCAAGAGCAAAACCATCATCCTTGTTTCCTTGCTATCCTTGTCAGGCCCTATAAAACCTGAAAACTGGTTTACCATGCTTCGTGACAGTAGTTACACTTAAGCTTGGCCCTTCGAGCTGTGACGCACCTGCCAGCGCGTTCCATCGCCTGGCCACGCAGGACGGACGAGCGGGTATTGTGAGAGGGTGCACATTTAAATGGTGTAATCTTATCTAATGTCTTAAGACATTTCTACGTTTTGAGTTAGGTCTTTATTAAAGCGCGCCATCTGTGGTTGCAACCACTCTTTCGAGCCTATAATTGCGGAAACATATTGCCGGAAATCCTCAGCATCATCGCATAGGCGCGTTTTTTACAGTAAAGGCTTCTCTTTAAATCCCAAGCATTTCTGGCCCATCGGAGATTTACGGAGCGCTCAAAAGCTATGACGGGTTCACATGAGCCTCCGGAGTTAGGGCAGCGCAGGGTCATTGACTTACGAAGCGACACGGTAACAAAGCCCACACCTAAGATGCTTCAGGCAATGATGAACGCAGAAGTGGGCGACGATGTGTGGGGCGATGACCCAACCGTCAACGAGCTGCAGGTTCGACGGCCTCTTTTTCCTTCATTACCCAAACATTCCAAAACAACTTTACTCACTTCCAGGTCCTCAGAATCAAAGCAGCAGGGAAGCGCCCGGCTTGTCTGTCGTTTGTCTAGGACCCAGCGGTTTTTTTGTGCGCACGCATGGCCTTCACGCTGCGCATCCTGCCTTCTCTCCTTTCTCCTGGGACTCTTCTCCAATCCTCCCACCGCTCCTTGGGAACCTCTTCCCTTGACCGGCCTTTCCCTCTGTTGACGTGCTGCGTTGCGTATCACATATGCCTTGCGCACTTCGCCCCCTCCCCTCCCACCTGCATATAATCCTTTGTTTCTTGCATATAATTATTTCCCCCCGCGTCGTACCTCCCTTTCCCCCTCACAAACGTTTCTTCCCGCAGGACTTCGCAGCTCAGATGTTTGGCAAGGAAGCCGGCCTGTTTTGCCCCTCCGGTACTATGACTAACCAAATCGCAATTAAGGTATGGGCCGAGCGAAAACCGTGGAGTAGCGTGCGAAGGTATGCAGGTAGGTGCATAGATATGTAGGTATGTAATAGGTATGTATGTATGTATGTAGGTACGTCTTGAGGAAGGACATTTTCACTCAGGCGTGATGCTGTTCTCGTTGCGTGCTACTGCTGAGGCACTGCCCCCACTACTGCTGCTACCGCTCCCGCTGCTGCCGACCAGGTTCACACGCATCCGGGGGACGAGCTGTTGTGTGCGGATAACGCCCATATCTACTTGTACGAGGGGGGGGGCATAGCTTTCAACTCTGGTAGGTTCGGGGGGGGGAGGGGGGGGGTGCAGCCGGGGGTGAGAGCCCGGTGTGTGTGTGTGTGTTTGGTGACTGCGGCAGTGGCAATGCCGGTGTGCCGAAATGGAATAAACTCGGTGCTCGCATCCCGGCGTGGCATCTGCCCCAGGACTTGTCCATATTCTCCCACCCACCCACCCGCCCACCCGCCCACTAGGGTGGTTTCGCCACGTGTGAATCCAAAATTATAGAGAATCCGGGGTGGGGTGGGGTGGGGTGGGGGGAAAGAGAGCCCTAGTGTGCAAAACCCCGGGCCGTGGCCACACTACCGCTCGCCAGCTCACCCCTCACCCGCAATCGGGGGATGGTGAAACTTCCGTACACATAGGTGGTTGCTGGCAAGTTCCGGAGTACGACTTCACAAGACATACCTCCGACCCGCTTTTTTTGTTGACCGCCTCACTAATTTAATAATTTCCAACCTCCCCCCCACACCCGCCTCCGCATACCCCACCCTTGTTTACCAACAACCCACGAAAGGTGTCCAGCCCAAGCTGTTGCCTAGCAATCGAGGCCGCATCTCTGCGGAGCAAATTGTGCAGGCGATAAACATGGTGGGTTGACTGTTGGTTGACGGAAGGAAGGAAACAGGCTGAGGTTTGGTTGCGCATGACTAGCTCAGCGTGGATGTGTGTGTGCGTGTGTGTGGGGGGGGGGGAGAAGAGAAATGTGTTTCCCTGGGCTGAAGTGCGGCCGCTGCCGCCGCCAGTAACATATATTGGATTTTGGTTGCTTCCAATCCGCCGCCGCAGATTACGTGTCATGCCGTACAGTGTAACGCGTCGTCGTACATCGTCTGCAGCAACTCCCGTCATCACGCCACTCTGCGCACATTTGCACTTCTATAGATAGTTGTCGGCGCTGTTGAATGTCGTGCAACCTGTTAACGGTTACGGTTGCATCTGTAATGTAATGTTACAGAGTGGGATGCTTCTGGGCCGCTTTATCACATTGTCAGTTCTAGATCATTTATCACCTTATAGCACCATCCACCACTACCACACTGTACTTCGCCATACGAACTGTAAGTCCAAGGCGGCGGATCCAGCCTTCAGGGACCCCTCCTCATCCATTCACCCGAACACCCGAAGAGACGGAGGGTTTGGCAATCGCCACCAATCCAGCGTGCGAATCTGGTCCATCAACTGTGACCTCAACTCCACATCTCAGCAGCTAGCCATAATCTCGCGCTCCCGACTAATTCGGGGGTCTCCCCAGGAATCGAACCCAGGACCTTAAACCGCTAATTGCAGTAGTGTCAACCCAGACCAGACCAGAGGTTGCATCTGTTATCGTTCGCAGCCATGATACCGCAACTGCTTTCACCGTTAACCACCTTAACCACCAACCAATTACTGCCTACCCTGCCTGCCTCTCTCCCCTCCCCCCCCAAAGGAGGATTCGCACTTCCCCACCACCCGGCTGGTGTGCCTGGAGAACACGTCTAACAAGGGCGGCGGGGCGTACTACAGCTTAGATGAGTTGAGGGTACGGCAGTACGGCAATTGCAGCACTTGGTTCATCTCTTGAAATAGTGTCGGATGGCAGTCTCGGGCTCCCTTCCAATCCTTGTTTTATATTTAGGACGATTTCGCGGACATACAGAAATACATACCTAGGTTTTCGGTGGGAGTGCGGGAGCAGCAGTAGCAGCAGCCGCTGCTCATCTGAAAGTCAGTGGCTGCCTGTTGTGGATTGATAGCGTTATCATTCCACTTTCATTCACCTGGGTAGTCCACGTGCGCTTTCAAATCATTCCTTTTAAGACTCTTAAAATATCATCATCTATTACACACATTTTAAACATACCTGATAGATACGGTGCTTTTGGTTCCGTCTGTCTGTCTGTCTGTCTGTCCGTCCGTTTCCCTCGTGTGAATCACCTGACGGAGTTCGGTTCATCCGTACGATGCCGTACAGGCAATTTCGAAGGTGTGCAGTACACACGGGCTGCGCTTTCACCTTGACGGCGCGCGGATCTTCAACGCGGCTGTAGAGGCGGGGTGAGTACCGAATTGAGGTGGGCCCTTAGGGGAGTTGTAACTTATCGGGGGGGGGTCTGGGGGGGGCGTAGCCCCCCCCAGCGCCCCACACTTAAGGAATACATTACGGCGACGCTAGCAACTTTGTTACTTAGGTCGGAATAAATTGAGACCCCCCCTAAATGAAAAAAAAATCACTGGGGCCCTAGCATGTGCGGAACCTTGCCACCGCATTTGGTGCCCGAAAGCTGCCGTGGAGATGTGGCCCTGGCAATGAGGGTCAAGGAGGAGGGAGAGGAACGGCGTTTCCTAAAATCCCACCTTCTGTAGCAATTACCGCCTACGTCCTAGTTGTTGCGTCGTACTGTCACATGCCGTACATATGACGTTGTACGACCATACATATGCGCACATGGAATCTACGTATTTGCCAACTATACAAGCGGAACCTAATCCCCTTGCCGCCTCCGGTGCCCTGCCCTGCCTCGCCCTGTGCGCCCGGGCCCGTGGCACAATTGTTCTTCCACATTTTCCGACTGTCGTACTGCTGTCGTACTGTGCAGAATGTGCTCCGTACAAACCTTTTGCTCTGGATGCTGTGCTCGCAGGTACGGCCCTGCCGACGTTGGTCCTCTGTTCGACTCCATATCCGTTTGCTTGTCGAAGGGCCTCGGCTGCCCGGTCGGGTCGCTGCTGTTGGGGAGTAGGGACTTCATTCGTCGCGCCCACCGGTAGGCAGTGAGGGGTGACGGGGAGGGGTGACGGGGAGGGGTGACGGGGAGGGGTGACGGGGAGGGGTGACGAGGAGGGGTGACGGGGAGGGGTGACGGGGAATGGGGCACGCGGATCTGCAGATACTTGTGGTACGTACGGCACCCGCGAGTGATTCGTACGGTCGTATTACGTCCGGTCTGACATGAATGCATCGGTGAGACAGACAGAAGAGGGAAGAGAGGAATAAATGATGAAAGTAAATTGGCGGCGATGAACTGGGTGGTGTATGGGTACGGAAAAGGCCGAGCCCTTGGTGTGTGCTGTGGATTGATTTAGTGCTCTGAGGCCGTTCTGGGGGGAAATGGTGGTGGTGGTGGTGGCGATGCTGTGAGGTGGTGTTTGTGGGTGCTGGAGCGGGCAGTAGGATGAAGGGGTGCGGGTGTGTGACACAGCTTCATGTCGAGGGTTTGTGACGTAATAGTGACAGGCAGGTGCACTCCCATGTCCTCTCCCCCCTCCCCCCTCCCCCCTCCCCCCCAGGGTTCGCAAGGTGCTGGGCGGCGGTATGCGGCAGGCGGGCTTCCTGGCGGCTGCGGGCTTGTACGCGCTCAAGAACAATATTGACAGGTAGGTGGGCGTTGGTCGTTTTTCGGGTGGCAGTTGACAACGACTGAGGAAACTGGCAAGGCGGTAACGTTGCGCGTTGACCTGATGTTTCTCCTTGGGCTCCCGCTATATGTTTATAAAAGCTCATACGAATACACGTGTTTTACATGTGTTTCATGTGCATACACACGGCCCCCTCACTAACCCGGTCTTCGCGGACCAGTAGTTACCGTGCGAATACACACGTGCCGTACACGCACACATAGACGTACTATTTTTACACCTCCATTTCACATTTAAATCGTTAATGTCGTACTCCTCTCGCAGGCTGCGTGATGACCACGCTCGTGCACGGCGGCTGGGCGCCACGTTGGACGGACTGCCGTACGTGTCGTATTTGGCACCGGTTGACACCAACATCGTCATCTTCCACGTCGCGGCGGGTTGGGACGCGCGGGTATGTATGTATGTGTGTGTGTGTCGGCTGCCCCGGGGTGCGCGTCCCCAGGGGGGGGGCGCGCCGGGCCTCGTGTGCGCGATATGCGGTGCTTGGAAATCCTTAGGATTGTTGTTTGGTTGGGTCTTCTGTTGGGTCTTCACCCCTACCTCACCTCTACCTCACCACCCCACCCCACCCCACCCCACCCCACCCCCCTTTCAGGCCCTCGTGGAGTGGTTCCAGGCTCGAGGTGTGTTGCTGATCACCATGGGGCGGGCGGTGCTGCGACTGGTGACCCACCTGGGGGTGGACGACGAGGACGTGGACCGCGTGTGTGAGCTGCTCAAGGAGGCGGCGAGGGGGGGGAGGGGGGGAGCGGAGGCGGCGGAGGCTAGTACGGCGGCGGGGGCGGTGAAGGTGAATGTGGAGGAGGCGGGGGAGGGGGTGGGGGAGGGGATGGGGGAGGGCAAAGGTGGGGTGGCGGAGTTGAATGGTGTTGGTGGTGACGGGGCGTGTGTGGGCGGTATCGACCCTGCGGAGGGGGAGGAGTAGGAGGAGCGGGGGAGGACTGGAGCGACCACGACGGGGCCCGAGGGGAGGCCGCAATGGTGTTGATGGTTGTGGTGGTCGTGTGGTAGACAGGCCGCCCAGGAAGATGTCGGTTACGGTTATCAGTTAGCTGTTGCTGGTGTTCGTTTGCACCCCATTTGCAAGCTCCCCATTTGTTATGTTTCTGCTCTGCTTGGATATTATGTAGAATATTCGACGTGTGTATATGTATGTACGTACGTATGTATGTATGTATGTATCTTCCGATTTTTGCCCCCGGTGTGAAAAAGTCGAGGCGGAGGAGGGGGAGAGAGAGAGACTGTGTGGAGTGTGTCTTTCACTTCGCAATCCATTTGGTGGTGCTGTTGGGCTTTGTTGTTGGTTATTGCTGTTGGCGCATTCTGTTATCGTGGCAGTTGTATCGGTTGTTGCTGCTGTACCGGCCATATGTATGTCTGGCTGTATGTACGACCCTTCTGTGTGTACGTATGTATGTATGTGTGAACAGGTGATCATGAGGTGTCAGCCCCAGCTGCCAGATGTCACCACACGCAACAGGGGAATCCTGGTGTATTACTAATACCGTGCAGTGCCAAAGGAGGTTTTGTACATTATGCCGTACACATACTCCACCTTTGCTGCTTATGACATGAAACTATACCTTTTTCGAGCTGGGCTAATCTGCGCCCGGGGATTTGGGGGTTGAGGAGGGTGAGGGGGGGGCTAGAGGTGACACACGCAAACCCTCTTCTCCCGCCGGGCCCCACCCCCCAACCTTTTGGTCAGTTCTACGTCTGGTACACTCTTGCCCTGGCAGCAGCTTCACTCGTTTGTGGTTCGTCTTTCCCGACCCTAACGGGGGGCGGGGAAGGGGGGTGGAGGTCTGCCTGGTGTCGCGGTCGTGGTCGCCGGGTGGACGGCATCAGAGGAGAAAGGTGAGAGGAGCGTCTGAAAGGAAATGCTTTTGAAACACACATACATACATACATACGCACACAACCCAAACACGCTCGGCAAGCTGTACCTTTTTTGATATTCGTATTATTATCACGGTCATTATTTGCTGCTTCAGGTTGCGTAGCCGCCGCGAGAAGATACCTAGTTGGACGTTGAGGGGAGGGGAGGGTGAAGACATCGGCGACAGATTCGGTGTTAATCTACTGCTGCTGCTGCTGCTGCTGCAAGAGCTGTTGGAACTTGCTATTATTATTATTATTATTATTATTATTATTATTATTATTATTATTATTATTATTGCTGCTGCTACTGCTGTTGTTGCTGCGGCTACTGTTGAGATTGTTGTCGTTGAATCACGGGGGTAATGGTCGGCCCGGTGGGTGGTTATGGCGGTGGCAACCACCTTCGCCGCGTTTGGCCCTCTCAGCATGTCGTACACACACTGTACTGCTATGCGACCGTCGTACGGAATCTACGCAGAGAGTCTTTATGTCGTTGGTCTCCCTCACCTTCCTGCACACACACATGCTCCCTCCACCCTCGCACGCAAAATAACACGTACGTATATACACAGCAACCTCCAATGCCGTACATCCTTACCACACTTCTCCCCCTCTCGCCATCTGTCACCACTCCAGCAAGCAGCGCCAGATATTTTCACCAACGAACATAACCAACTTGTTGACACCCTCCAGTCCTCCGGTGTAGTACAGATGCTTACTCATTATGTACGGAATACGGTGTGGGTGTATACGGGTGTCGGTGTAAACGGCACTCACACATACACTACTCCCACGACCATCCGTACCACCCCTGTATTCACCCTCATCGTCCCTCACCGCAGTGCACCCGTAGCAGAGACGTCGAACGCCGCACGTCACTCAGTGCACCAACATGTCATACGTTCCTAAAAAAGTATAAAAAAGCTGAGTTGGGATATCACGATGAACAGCTCCGGCTAGGATTTGAACAGGATATTAAATCAACCAGGAGACAGCGGCAACCTACAGCGTCACATAACTGACAGACATGTAAAGCCATGTTAATAAAACGCCAGCAAAGGCGCCATGACAACATCGTAAGCCCAATGCTGGCCAACGCTACATAACGGAATACATTATGGAACATGTCTTTGTGACCGCACCGCATACAGTCACCATACAGCATATAAGGAGATAGATAACATCCGCGATGAAAGCGAGGGGGATGCGGAACGAGAGGTAAAAATGTTTTTGATCGTAACCTGAAGCCCAGGCGCGATTATGGCATCCGTACCATCCGTTGCCCGTGCCGTACTACTGTTGTTATATCTGCCCCATCCGCCACCGCCATCACAGCCCATCCCCATCCGCAACCGCCGCGTCCGGCCCCTCCGAAAGCAACCTGTCTAGTTTGTACGATAGAGGGAAAAGATGCAGCGCCGTACTGTTGAATGCGGAAGCTACCGGGAAGCCGAGGTCGGGGGTAGCAAGCTCCACCACTGCCCCTAACGGCGGTAGAAGAGAGGGGGGAGGGGGTGGGGAATTCAAACAGCGTGCGTGTGTGCGTGTGTGTGTGTGTGTGTGTGTGAAAGCCCCACCTCGACGAATAGGTGAGGCGAGGAGAGATGCGGTGAGATGTGGGTTTGTTGGACCCGGAAAGGTCTCCCCCCCCTCGTCGTGATGCTCGTCAGTCGGGTGGTGCACCCTCTCTCCCGCTTCGGAGGGTTCGGGGTTCGGGGGGAAGAAGGGCTGAGAGCGGGTTGATGGGTTATACAGCGGTTGCCTGCGTTCAATGCCGAATCAATGCCGAATGCGTTGAATCATTCGAAGCATAACACCTGTTGCACGAGGGGGGGAGACGTGGCGCTAGTCCGCCGCCCAGTTCTCCCACCACCCCCTGAATCACTCACCGGCCAGACAGCAACGGACCACAGGTCCAGGGGAAGCCAGTGGACGAGCTTTATGCGCCTCCTGGGCCTTGCGACTGCCGCCACCGGCACCGCCGCTGCCCGCCAGCCGCATCTCCCACCTGCACACCGCCGCCATCACCCACTGACATGATGACGGGGTATACGACAAATAACAACGACGGCGACGATGATGATGGTGATGTGTCGTACCACAAGGCGATGGAATAAATGCTTATGGCTCCCCTTAGATAATTGTGAGATGTGGTTGACTGAGTCAACACTACCTGCCGCCCCTGGAGGCATGCACTCCGTGAGATGTGCAGGAGTATGTATGTATGTATGTATGTATGTATGTATGTATGTATGTATGTATGTATGTATGTGGTTGCACACGAAACACACAGACCGCAGAGAGCGGTAGCAAGCGCACTGCCGTGCAATGTGTGGTACAAAGCTTCTGCAATGTACGCTGAGGACACTGGTACGGCACGCACCGTTCCAAGTACTGTCGGAAGCTGTTGCCCAGCAGCGCAACCAGCGGTACCCCGACCACCACCACCGCATCGGTGCCGGTTGCGGGGGGGGTTCCACGGCTAGCCGGGGCGCCATCGCCGCCGCGGCCGCCGGCACCAGTACTCCAGTTGGCTCGCAACAGGGTGTCGTACAGCTCCCCCTCGCAATGTGGCATGTAAAAGAACGTGGGCTCCGTCACTTTCCGGCCCCCGCCCTCATCCACCTCCAAAACCTGCGGGGGGTCGGTTAAAACCGGCGGCATATAACCACGTTGCGCCTGACGAAGGAGCAGGGGAAATGTATGTGTATGTGTTTTTGAGGGGAGGTGGAGGGCCAGGGAGACGCAAGGGGTGATGCGCACAGACAAACGTTTGGCAGGATGGCAGAAATTAAGGCCTGACTTCTGCTCCCGGAGGCTCCGGGTTCAAATCCGCCTGCCGACCCCGCTTCTCGGTGTGTGCGGGGTGTTGAATTGGGAGGTGGCCCCCCATCTTGTGGACGGTGTATGACGTGATTATATCAACTTGCGCAAGCTGACCAGGAACTAAGTTGAGGCGCCGTTGATCCGCTAGATTTGGTTGGATGCTGGTGGTGAGTTGCTGAACCCAACGAATACATTCTGAAGTCGGATGGGGTGAATGGATTAGGGTGCCCCTCTCGCAGGGGAGAGCAGGGAACTGCCTCCAAGGGAAAGGGGGCCGCTGGTGAAGCAATACCACCCTGTAACATCATACCCACACACACACCTCTTTTGCACAAATCCCCACCTGTAACCCTAGATGCTGTAGCGCCAGCCTGTCTATGTCATCGAATGCCGGGTCGTACAGCTGTACGGCAGAGCTGAGGCCACCCAGAACCTGGTCGCGGAGCAGCAGCACCAGCGCCAACTGCAGCACAGTCACATAATCACCGCCGGGGAGTATGACGCATACACACACACGTGCGTGACGGAAAGCAACGGGCGTGTGCGTATGTGTGTGTGGGGGGACGAGGGGGGGCCAAGTGTGATAGTGGAGAGGTGGAGAGAAAAAAAGGGAGAGACAGCGGCAGGCTACGAGCTGCCGGGACTGGGTAAGGGGGAAGATGTGCTTAGCTTTACATGTCCTACAGTACACAGTCGTACACAGTACCGCTGGCAACTTGGACGACAGCATCGTGTACATAACCAGCAAGTCTTCCTTTCCGTACGACGGCCCGATGTACGACGCTTGACGTACCTGATACCTTGAAACCCGGCTGAGATGCGGTGAGCCCAGGCCGTACACCACCAGGTTGCGAATAACACCCCAACCGATCAGGCCACCACCGCCGCCACCTCCACCGCCGCCGCCACCTCCGCAACCGCCGCCAGCAACAGTAGCAGTTGCATGTCCCGCCGCCGCATCCATCGCCTCTATATCAATCGACACGCAAGTGCCCCCTTCTGTCATGCCTTGGCGGCGGGCCTTTACAACGTCGCCATCGTCATCATCACCAACGACACCGCCAACGGACGCCGTACAACATTGAGGTTTCTCCATTTCGACAGCAACGACGGTGCCTGATGGTACGGCATCTTGTCCCGCTGCCTTCCGTTGCACGCAACCCCTCCCATGACCGCCCGACGTGTACGGCGTACTTGGCGGAAAGTACGACAGATGAGCAAGATGACCTGCCGCCTCCGCCTCCGCCAGCACTTGTCGCAGGCGTGCATAGAAGGGGCTATCGGCGACCTCCTGTCTGCGGTCAAGACATGAAAGAAACCAGTCAGTGTGTTTGTTTGCATGTATGTATGTATGTGCCCATATGTGCAGGTCCTCGTGCTAGGCTTATGGTTGTGTATCTTTTCGTCAATGTAATGGACTGGCTGCCTAATCTGGCGCACACATACACATATATAGGCAGGCGGCTGGCAGAGGTTAAGGCCTGACTTCTGCTCCCGGCCGACCCGGGTTCAAATCCGCCTGCCGACTCCTCGGGTGTTTGAGAAGTGATGAAATGGGAGGTGGCCCCCCATCATATGGACGGTGTAGGACGTGATAATATCAACTTGCGAGCTGATCAGGAACTAAGTTGATGCGCCGTTGATCCGCTAGATTTGGTTGGATGCTAGTGGTGCGTTGCCGAACCCAACGAATACATTCTGAAGTCGGATGGGGTGACGGATTAGGGTGCCCCTCTAGCAGGGGAGAGCAGGGACTGCCCCGGGAAAGGGGGCCGCTGGCGAAGCTAACCACCCTGTAACAACATACATATATACTGGCAGACACAAAAGCACACACATATGCATACACACAAACACACCGGCAGCTGCGGATGCTGTTCAGCAGCTGATCGCACTGCTCCGCCGGTGTTCGTTCCCCCCCTCTCCCTCCTCTGCCTGTCCTTCGCTTGGCGGTCCGGTCAAAAGACGTCGACGGTCCGCCGGCCCAGCTAGCAAAAGGGGGCCCGCCGGGATCAGTGCAGGCGCCACCTGCGGCCCTGCCGTCTGGGAAACAGGGAAGGACGTTGGGATTGGAATTAGGGTTTTGCTGGAGGGCCTGTGGGTGCATGATGGACCAGCTTCATTTACGCGTAGGTGTCGACGCAGTCAAATATGTCACAGCAGGAAGGATACATGGACATGAAGCAGTGAGGAAGTTATGAATGAAAAAAAGCGCGACAGTACTTAGGGTTCTCCTGATGCTACCTTGCCGAGGGAGAGTGGTGTGGGGGTGTGGGGGTGAAGAGGAAATGAGGGAGGCAGGAGAGAGAACCAGGCGACTTACCTCCGGGACAACATTCATCCCTAGCACGCTTCGAAGACGTGCCTTTGTGCCTGCTCCTGCCCTTGCCCTTGCCGCGCACAATGGTCCACCCGCCGTCATCGTCGACGTCCATCGCTGGCCGCCGCTTAGGTGGTCAAGGTTTTAATTGCTTATAAGGTTAATCAACTTGATGATAAGGCTAACGTAAATAAAAATGGCGTTCAGGATGGCTATTGAAAAGTGACGTGCTTGCAGAGACTTCTTCATCCCTACAAGTATTCTTTGTTAATAGAGCAGGTGCAAACAGGTAGATGGCTTGCATATGACAGCTTGGTTATCTTCAATGGAAATCAATGCTCATGCTGAAATGCTCATGATTGACAGTGTCCGTTGAAGGGCGGTTAAGGCTTGTGTTTCCCTTGACTCAATTATTCATCTGTTGGATCCATGTGATTGGGATTCGGCACTAAATGTCAGGCAGAAACAAGGCCATGCAATGGTCCAGTTAACGAGCAACGAACGAAACCTATTACGCCAAATGCTGTAGTTACAAAGCACCCGGGCAACAGTTTGTTCTTGAACTATTGCAAGAGTTAAAAACAAAACAATTCCAACTCATCGGCACATGTCAGACTGGCAAGGTATCAACAAGGAATATTGAAACCCGGTTTCGGCGCCGTGCCACAAATTGTTCTCAATCAATTGAAATCAATATTTCGTGATAAATGTGCCTTTTACATGCTGTTTAGGTGTTGGAAATAGAAGCGTAACATGCCTATTGCGAGTCTTGCTTTACTTGCGGAGAACGAGGCCCGCGTGGTGTGCTGCGGCGCCAAAGCTCCATCCTCGACCGGGTTAAAATGCCGCTTTGGTGATGTGGAGGTGCCGGCACGGGCGGAAGCGGGGGGCGAGGTGTCTTGCTGCGTTCCGCCGCTCGAGGTACATACCGCGAGCCGCAAGTGACGATAAATTACTGCTTCGCGATGTGCATAACATAACACATCATAAAGTGACTTATATGTCAGTTATCCTATGCAAGTGTGCGGTATACCCAATGCTGCCCGAAGCCATTTACCATCCCGCCTTGCTTGTCCTACCAGAACGTGAGTGAGGACATCGAATCGAGTCGCGGCGTGCCAGTTCAAGTGCTTCACAACGATGAGGTCATTATGGAGGAAGTCATCTCGCTGGAAAGCATGCATCTTCTTAGGTACGGCAACACCGTACAAGCAATGAACAAGACGAAACTGCTGTAGAAACAATGAGACTTCCAGCATGCGGAGCCCTTTCTTTTTATCCAGGCACCGTGCATAACAGATAACATCCGAGCGAATGCGAACGAATGCAAATTTCGAATGAAGCAAGAAGGAAACCCCCTAAGATCAGCATCGTCCACCCTGTCGCGAAGCGGAGGCAGAGGATTGGTCCACGCAAACTAAAATGCCTAGCCCGTGCCTCCGGTCCTGGGGCCGAGGACACCCGGCCTTTGGCGCTGATGATGATGATGGCGCTTCATCCTCCGACGTGCACGTGTCGTAGAGATTCCTGGTTGATTCCTAGTTGGCTCCAGGGATGTGCCGTACACCCGACCCGTCGGACTCCTGATCCTCATCCTCGATTCTCATCCTGATGCCGAGAAGCTGATATCTGCAGGGCCCGCAAAGCCAAGACGGCTCAGGACGGCTTCGTCACCACTCCAGGGGCCGGCGCGGAGTCCCCGGTGGTCAGCTCGTCAACGGCGGCAGGAGGCGACGGGGGGGGAGGCGGCGGGATGTCGTACATGTCCCGGGCGGTGGCAGCGACCATGACTGGGGCGCCAGGGAGACCCGTTGCTGAGCCAAAAGCGGAGACGCGCAAGGTGGGCAGTGGTACGGCATGTACGGCATGAGAGTTACGGCAAACTTTGTGCGCGTGGACATGTATGTAAAAGTTATATGACGTATTTTAACCACCAGGATATATATATGACTTAGATTACACTGTGGACCGCGAGAGCCGGGGGCCGAAGCCGAAACACAGCGCAAGGGTCGGGAGCACACAGCACACGTCGGTTAGTCTTGTGTGCTCCCGACCCCGACTCAGACTGCCAACACTCTACGCAGCCCCTCCGCAGCCCCTCCATCCGGGGATGGCGCTGCAGTGAAAACACCACGAAGGGCTCTCAGGTCCCGCTAGAGCGAGTCCACAAGTCTCAGCTAGGGCAAAGTCAAAGGCTCTCAACAACCCTCCAAAGCACCACCAACGAAAGCGGGATTCTAAGGGAAAAAACAAACAAACAAAAAATCGGTTAGAGCAGTCCCGGGCTCCTGATATACCTAACAGGCCAACAAAAAACCTCCAAGAGAGAAAGGCTAAGAGAGCTCGACACCACAAGACGTCTTGCAACCACCTTAAAACAACTGACCTCCACCACCTGTCCCTTCCTGGGCTAGTCCAGGGGAGAAGTAGCCATATATATAAAAGGGACCACGCACAAGCCCGATCACCACTGCAGGGGCCCGGGATAGACCGGCGAAACCACAAAAGCGAAAGCGTTGCCACGGCACACAGCTCCTAGACCCTCCAGAAAACCGCAGGGGGAGGATTGTAGCCCGCGCGGCGCCTCCCCCTTACCGCCACTAACCTGAACGGTTGGTCCTCCAGAAACCTATTCACCCTGTCTCGTACTGCACCGCTCTCACCTTCGTCCCTCACCAAGCAACCCAGTCCCACAGAGAAGACGTGCCTAAGTAGAACGGCCCTCCTCGGGCCACATCTCCCCCTCATCCGAGCCCCGCTACCACCACCAGACCTCAACCTCCCAAACACCAGAAAACCTACGTCCTTTTGGCGCTCTCACCGCCATTTCCCCTCCCCTGTCCGAGCGACCCCACCTCCCCCCGGCTCTCCAGCACCCTACAACCTCGGCACGGCACTAGGGAAGAAAAAGGGTTCTTCCCTGCACGACGTGACCGCCTCCATTCCCCGTCCTTCTCCTCGCCCTCTCCCGTCGTATATAGTAGTACGGCGTAGAGCGCCCCACTTCTACCCTCGTATTCACCCCCCTATGTGTGCACCCCCCTATGTGTGCACCCCCCTATGTGTGCACCCCCCTATGTGTGCACCCCCCTATGTGTGCACCCCCCTATGTGTGCACCCCCCTATGTGTATAATACCGCAGGAGGCGATGCAGCGGCAGTTTTCCGCTCTGCGACCCTTCGTCATCATATCACTGTCGTACTTGCTATTTACGACTACAGACGGCGCCGTACGCATGATTGTACTGCTGCATGCGTACCGCTCGGGGTTCAGCGCTTGGCAGGTGTGTTTGGCAGGGTGTGTGTGTGTACATATGTATGTATGTATGGTTATGGTGGATGTTGTGTAAATATCAGGTCGGATCCGATTTCCCGGGTCGGGTGGGTTGGTGGGGTTATGGTTACGTGGCATACCCCCACCCCTACCCATACCCATGGGCAATGGTGTGGATGGGAAGGAAACTCATCCGCGCGTGTGTGTGTATGGGGGGAATGTCGTTTGTATGGCTGGTTGCTGATGGGGGCCTTGGGGGATTGGGGGAAATACTGCTACAGCGGGGGTAGAGGGGGGGAAGCGGATACGGGCAGTACGGCGGTCTGGCGTACATGGGTTGCAGTTGCAATAACAGTTGTCCTGGTAGTTAGTTACCGAGTGAGTCATCCGTTGCGGTTGCTGGCTGGGCGGGGGGTGTCGTGGGGGCCGGGGCGGGGCGCATGTGAGTGGAAGTGATTACTTGGTGAGAGGGAGGTGAGGGAGGGAAGGGAGGTGACTCCACGGCGTGACTCCCCAGCTGCCCGCAGAAGGGATCAGCCTCAGCCCATCGCCACGTCCATAACCCTGAGGCCGCATGCTGCTGTGTAACGTCTGGGCCCCCTCCCCTCCCCACCCTCTAAACCCAGGTGGCCATCATGTTTTCGTTGTACGAGACGGCGGGTGTGGTGACGAACCTGGCAGCAGGTGTGTGTGTATGTATGTGTGTATTTTAGGGTATTTATTTCCCACACCCCCAACATACATACATACATACATACATACATACATACATACATACATACATACATACATATACATACATAAACACATACATAAACACACTTCTAAACCTTTCCCACTCACAATACTCGCAACACACACGCACACACACTCCATACGGACAGGCATACACAGACATACATACACACCCGATACAGGCATGATGGGCGCCAAGTGGGGCATCAAGTGGACCTTGTTGTCCGGGCTGTCACTGCAGCTGGTTGGGATATCCATGTTGTACGGCTGGAGAGACGGGTGGTCCGTACCCGAAAACCGCTGGAAGGGCATCTTGTTCGTCACGTGCGCGCAGGTGTGCATGTGTATCTGCATGTGTATGTACGTGTGTATGTATGTATGTACGTGTGTATGTATGTATGTACGTGTGTATATATGTATGTATGTATGTATGTATGTATGTACGTGTGTATGTATGTATGTACGTATGTATGTACGTGTGTATGTATGTATGTATGCATGTATGTATGTGTCTGCGTACGTGTGGAGGTCCGCATGGCGACGCTTCCCCCCCCCCACACACACACACACACACGAACCTCTAAACCTCACGATCGCCCCCATAAGGCCGACGAGGGTGCACCACCCTCAGGTGTCAGGTCCCATCCACCCCCGGATCGCCCCGCCAATCAATCTGCAACCTCATGATCCCCTTGCTTGCCTTCACCCGCCGGATGCTTCTTAGGTGCAGTGTAATCAGGTGGTTTAACCCCGCCTCCCTTCCCAGACCTTCCCCCGCATAACAAACACACAAACCCCAACACAAAAACACACACGTGAATCAAAGCACAGATCAAAAGCACACGCATCCGCACGCAGATGCTTTGCGGCGTAGCTAAGGACCTGACCAAGCTGGGTGGCAAGACAGTCACGAAGCTGGTGACGCCAGACGAGCAGCAGTCGCGACTGTTCAAACTCGTGTCCTTCATCACCGGCTGGAAGAACTCCTTGAAAGGTGTGTGTGTGGGGGGGGGGAGAGAGGCAGCTGGGGGAGATGGAGGTGGGTGAGGGGGACCCTCCATTGACATGTCCAAACCCGTGTCAATGTACGTCTTGCTCTTGGTAGTTATTTCACATCTCTCGCCTGACCCCTCTCCATCCCCCTTATTGCCTGAACAGGCATTGGCTACTTCATTGGCGCCGCATGCATCGCCTTCAACTACCAGTTCGCACTTGCCGTACTGTTGGTTCTGATCCTGGCCGCCATGCCCTGGGCTGCCGTGGGCCTTACGTCACAGCTGGGTAGGGCCCGCAAGGAGAATCTGACGTTGGCCAGGATCTTCAAACAGCCGTACAACATCAATGTACTCAGCGTGTCACGGTGCGTGTATGTATGTATGTATGTTGTTACAGGGTGGTATAGCTTCACCAGCGGCCCCCTTTCCCTTGGAGGCAGTTCCCTGCTCTCCCCTGCAAAAGGGGCACCCTAATCCATTCACCCCATCCGACTTCAGATTGTATTCGTTGGGTTCAGCAACTCACCACCAGCATCCACCCAAATCTAGCGGATCAACGGCGCCTCAATTTAGTTCCTGGTCAGCTCGCAAGTTGATATTATCACGTCCTACATCGTCCATAAGATGGGAAGCCACCTCCCATTTCAACACTCCTCAAACACCCGAGGAGTCGGCATGCGGATTTGAACCCGGGTCGGCCGGGAGCAGAGGTCAGGCCTTAACTTCTGCTAGCCTCCAAGAGAGAAAGGCTAAGAGAGCTCGACACCACAAGACGTCTTGCAGCCACCTTACAACAACTCACCTCCTCTACCTCTCCCTTCCTGGGCTGGTCCAGGGGAGAAGTAGCCAATGTTTATGTGTGTTTATGTGTGTAGGTGCCTGCTCCCCCTCCCGCCTTCACAGACTCACCTCCTCCCCTTGTTGACTACACACACACCGTTGACGATTTGTCCTGACGTTTTGCATTTTCCTTCCTCTCCTCTCTCCTTCCCACATACATACATACATACATACATACATACATACACACGCATACACAAACCCGCCAGGTTCTTTTTGTTCGGCAGTCGGGACATGTGGTTCGAAGTGCCGTTGCCCTTCTTCTTGAGAAACGGAATGTACGGCCTTGGGTGGAGCCGGCCGCTCACGGGGCTATTCTTGGCAGTTTGGATCATTGTGTACGGCCAGGTGCGAGTGCCGTACTGAAAGGAGCTAGTATACGTCATACGCGTGTACGACTCATTAACTCTTTTGCGCACGCACCTGTCTGCTCGTGTGTGCATCTGGCCCACCGTTGGGGCTGAGTTAGTTAAGTTAGTTGGATAGAGCCTGACCCCCCTCACCCCCCTCACCCCCTCATCCCCCTCGCTCGGGTCATTACTAAGAGAGCTGTTGTGCCTGCGCGCGTTTCTCTTTCCGTGTTTAAAGGGCAGCCATGTAACCCACCGTCCTGTTACTGGCTGCAGCTATGGCTGTTGCTTGTCGGGGTTGGGACTGCTGTACGACGTAACTGGGCCCCTTGCCGTACATTTCCTCATCATGCCCCGTTCCTTGAGACCCCCCTTCCACGTACCTCAATACACACCGACACACAGACACAGACACACGTGTAAACCCCTCCCCCGACCTGTCAGGTGCAATCCTGGACGCCCCAAATGGTTTTGTCGCCCCTCAAGCAGACACCCGCCAATAAGTGGGTCCGTGCGGGTCTGTGCCGTACGTGGGGCTGTGTAAACTCAGGGATATATGGGGGAGGTGTAGGAGAGGACGTCGAAACCGGCATTGAAACGCAGGATTGAGCGGCATTAGATGTACAGGGCGATGATACCTTAGCGGTATGGGGGCGAGAGAGTGTGTGTGTGTGTGCACATTTGTTGCTTGGTTGCGATGGAGGGGTGAGTGCCAGTGTGGTGGTTAGACTTCGTTGGTAGCTGTCAGTTAGAGATCGTAATGCTAGGCTGCGGCTGTATGCCGTACCTAAGGGCCGTACTGCTGGACAGCTCTGGCCTCAACTTCCAACTCCCCTGTTGAGGAGGCTTTCCTATACATTTTGCCGTACAAATGGTGGCGTCCATGATGACCATTAACGGCTAACCGAAAACTGAATTCGATGTTTCTCATCCGCCAGCGTGAGCACGCGTTCATGTGTTTTGCCGTACGGTACGGCAGGTATGTCGCGGTGTTGTGGAATGTCCTGCTGGTGGCTACGCCGCTGTTCATGGGCCTCATGCTGCAGCTGTCTGGCTTGTTTCAGGCAAGTTTTCTTTCTCCTCTTTCCGCAAGTCTTCGGCTCTTCACATCCGACAGCCCCCTAGTTTCACCATTTCCTTCATTATACTGTCCTTGGCCTGTTTGTTCGCTCGCACCCGTATCTTACTTAGCTAGGTTTTGAGATACCATCCTTCGACTTTCCGAAAATCGTAATGAGAACAAATTTTCCAGGCAACCGGCCAGGCAATCGCGCAAGAAATCATTGCGAATCACCGCATGCCGCACCAGTTGTAGACGTCCTTCTCCCGGAACCCCCGTCTCCTCCCCCCCCTTTTTCCCTCCCTTAAGAGTCACAACGTGGGCGCTATGACCGGGGTCATGGTAGGAGGTCTCGGAGCCTTCTGCTTGGTCTTCGCCGTAAACTCGTCCATCCATTCGTACCTTATCGTACGATACGCCCAAGGCGACAAGGTGGCCATGAACGTGGGCTTTTACTACTGCGCCAATGCAATGGGCCGTCTCACAGGTACGGTGTACAACAGTACGGCAGCAGTACGACAAGAAAGGGCAGCGAAAGCGGCATATGCGTTGATAGCGTGCAACTCGTCAAAGCCCTGAAGTGCCATCGCCATCGTCTTCCAGACGTGGCAACCATCGCCTCCATCGCCGCTCCCGCCCGCCGCGGCTGTGCGCTGTCCCCCCTCTCGTACTGCCGTACTACCGCCGTCATTGGCCAGTGTCCACGTCACCTTATCTTTCCTGACTACAACCGCCCTCGCTACCTTCAATCTAATGTCGCTGCCACCCGCCCCACCGCGATCGCAATCACCGCAGGTACACTTGTCAGCGGCGCACTGTATTCCTACGCTGGAGAAAATGTCGTACAGGGTTTCGCTGCTTGTTTCTGGGCGTCGGTGGGATTCGCAATATTGTCAGCAATAGTGGAGATGTTCCTGGCGGACAACTCCGGGGGGCTTATGTGTGGATCCTGCCTGGCGATTGTTCCGCCGCCAGGGGGGCCCATCAGCCGCACTGCCGGAGAAGTCGAACTGGAGTGATTGACGTCATCATCAGGACTGCTTTTTCAAATTGTACGTCTGTACGGACACAAACTTAATGAAATCGCTCATGACGGCGATGTCGCACATCGTGTGTTTCGGCGCTCCCATCCAATGGGTATGCCGGCACGCCTTAACTCCCGGTTTACGGTTGTTCGACGCACATTCCCGGAGGTGTCGTAATAAGACGTGGGTTCTGCCAGTTATCATCAAACCGCTCCTTCAACGTTTCCATGATAGATCTAACATTGATCGGGTTCCGCAAAATGAAATTAACCGTCCCCTCTTCATCACGCCCAGTTGGTGGCAGTATAATCCGAACGCCCTGCAAAACGTATTTACTCACGCAAAACGTTGTGAAACACAGTCCCCTTCGCAAGTATTACCCTGTTCCAAAAACGGCAAATAAGTGAGGCCAAGTGAAGGTGGAGGGGCCATTGGCCAAGCTCCCTAAACAACACACGATGATCTCTAGGTGGCCTCCCACACCCAGAGAGGTGCTTCGGAAACGTGTGTTGCAGCTCGACCATGCGGTCCTCTAGAGAACATTCGAAGTAGCAGGACCGGCCATGCGCGTCAAGGGGTTCGTTCAACGACCTGGAGAATAAACTACGGCCCCCCTAGTACACCTGGGCACCGTACGACAGAATGGATCTAATTTGTATTTCAAAACATTCGAGCGCTCTCTTCGACAGGAACAGTTCCTTCCTATACCCAACTTGGCTATCAGTTTGTCATGTGTGGCTCGCTGCCCCGCACTGAATAGCTCATCAGTGCAGGATTCCAACCAGGCATCTGGCGCCCGTAATGAAGCCCTAAATACTTAGGGTTCCTGCCAACCCACGGCATCTCTTCAACCTGCACAGTGTTACCTGCACAGTGCTCGCTGCCTACTAACGTTCACAAGGCTCCCAGTTAATGCACGCAGAGTTCTGTTGGGGTGAATGTAGTTGACAATCTCACATTTACGAATATCAACGGCCATGCCAAATGCTGCAGTGCACCGCTCCGTGTGGGCAGCAGGTGGGTTATAGAAGGCACATTAAGCGCCGGTAATTGTGGTCAAGCAGATTCAGGTCATCTGCATATAGCTTTAGGGGAACACGCACCCCATCAACAATGGGGCACCCATCGGTACATATAGCTATTGGCGCTATTTATGATTTTGGCCTCCCACGTAGTCTGCGAAGCCCTTACTGATAAAAACGATCAATGTGGGGCTGCGGGTGCAGCCTTGTGGGGTGCAGCCTTGTTTTACCCCTTGAACAGAGTCGTAGGCCAACCCCCCACTGCCGCCACTGCCGCCACGGCCTGCTGGCCCGCACCACCGCCAGCGCCGTCATCATATCATTGTTCTTCTTGGCTTTCAGTCCGCAGTAGCGTTCTGAGTCCCGGCATTCCCTTCCCTTCTATGAGCTCCAGTGAAGCACCCCCACCAGTAGAAATATGGGTGATGTGGGTGGACAGTCCAGCGGCCGTAACCGCAGCGACAGAATCACCGCCTGAAGAATATGCGGCAACAATTTGAGGGGTAATAATAAAAAATTTAAGGATTCATACTTTTAGGGTTTGGGGATTTTAGCGAGGTGGGGCGGAGCGGGTCAAAGGAAGGAAGATGTCCCGCTGCAAACGCAGACGTTCGGGGAGACGAGACGAAGGGGTGGAACCAAAGTCTTCCCCTTTAGGGGAACAACAAGAACAAAGAAGATGACTGATGACATGTGATGGGAAACACGAGCCAGAGACACGAGCAGGTTTAATCAAGGAGGTGACAGCGGCGGTTGGAGGCGTCTCCAGTCGACGTTTGCCCCAATCCATATCTTTTCGCCACAGCTACCACCCTGCCCTGCCACCACAATCACCACAATCCCATCATCCTCATCACCACCACCATCATCATCACCACCACAATCACCACCAAAGCCCTAAACCCCAAGCCCAAGCAAGCAAGCCGTTGCGACAGGCTCACCGCCGATTATCGTCACAGCTCCGGATTGAGATGCCTCGTCCAAGGTCCTTGCAACGGCAACCGTACCCGCCGAGAATTCTGGTACCTCGAATTTGCCTGTGTGAGAGCGGTTGGCGGTTATTGCCGTTGTACGGCTCCCGATACCGCCATGTGCGAATTTCAAAGCGGGATTTCAAAGCACCTGGAAAGACACACACACACACACACACACACGCGCGCGTGCGCACACACACATACATACAGGTGCGCGCACGCTGTAATATCAGACACATAATATCTACTACTACAGACAAGCAAGAGGGAACGGGCCCCTCCAGTCCCCTGAAACCTCCTCCGGGAACGGAGGCAGCGTGAAGCGTGTGGGGACGCGCCGTGGTACGTGAGCGCCTCCTTCAAAGGTATACATGCCTACATACCTATCTACATGCAAACATGCGCGTATAATTTGCGCCGGCCGAATTCCAGAACACAACGCAAGCTAAACGTTTGACAGGAAGCAATGCTATGACTATATGATCGCAAAAAGAAGAGAAAAGTGGCCCCTTCTGAAGTCCGTAAACAGTCAGTAAAGGCGGTAAAATCGCGACGCTGCTGTGCACTTGTGTGCTGGCCAGGTAAACGATTATCACCTCACTATTTCACGTACCCATAGGGCCGTTCCAAAATATTGTACGGCAGGTCAACAGCTCCCGCCGAAACGTATCCATGGTCTCGGGGCCGATATCGACTCCGTATCGACCTAGGGGTGGTGATGGTGTCGCGGGCACATATACATACGGACAAACCGTTAAGAATGGAACCGTTTGACGTGATGCTAGAGATTGATGCCGCCGTATGCCGCGAAGTACGACAGGTGCCACGAGCAGGGAGCCGAAGCAAGAAGGTGAGTACCGGGGCCTCGAGGGCTGTTTGTCCCGAGGGGCGGAAGAGAACGACGGAAGAGAACGACGGAAGAGAACGACGGAAGAGAACGACGGAAGAGAACGACGGAAGAGAACGGCCTCGCCAGGGTGCGGGAGAGGGGGAGGAGGGGGGGGAGCTGTCGTCAATCTTCTCATGTCATCGCGCGCAACCGCAAAAATGCAGAAATTCCAAACCTTACACACATGGAGACGTACATACGCACATATCAACGGAGCCGCAGCCCCCGACATTCACATCCTTCGTTGTAGTGTGCTTGAAGAAGAAGAAGAAGAAGAAGAAGAAGAAGAAGAAGGACACATGCGCTTAAAACTTGCGTTGCTGTGCTATAACCTGTGAACCTGCTGCTGCTAAAACCCACCTGCCGGGATGCAAGGCCTGTCCGGTGTACAGCAGTCCAGGGTTAGTGGCGTCACTCCTGTCGTATCCAGGTGCTCAGGTCGCTCCAGGGATGAGGACCACAGTACGTCGCTTGGCAGGAGCAGTCGCGTGCCCCGCTCAGCTGCCCGGGACATCATGTGCCGGCAGGGCTGCCCGCGAGCCACAAAGAAACGACGTCGGTTTTAGGTCGTTTCAGATGGGTTTTACATGGGTTTTAGGTGGTGAGGTGAGACGTGGACTTTGGCGACAGAAAGTCGTGGAGGGGTTGAGATAAGACCGACCGCCTGAAACCCCCTGGCTGGGTGGCTGGCTGGGTGGCTGGCTGGGTGGCTGATTGGATGGTTGAATGGGTGGCTGGCTGGGTGGAGGCAAAGGCCGCGAGCCGCCTCTTGGGGCGTATCGCGTTGTGTTGTGTAGTGTTGGAATATTACGTGTGTGAGGGTGATGGTGAGGAAAGGAGCAAGCTCTATGAGAAAGAGCTTCCCCCAGCTAGGCAGGTGGGGGGCCGGCCCGACCCATCACCCTCTCAAACTCGCAGCGAGTGGACACCCAAGTCGCGGCCAATGTGAACCATCACCACCCTTCCCAGCGCATTACCCCCGCACTCCTCCCTCCAATGCACGCACGCAGGTATACAAAACCCTAAAAACCCCATCCCCAATCCCCAGAACCTAGGGCAACCCTCCCCAAACCCCAAGCACACCTCCAGCCAGTCCTCCTCGATCTGTGTGGACCCCACGGACACCCCGGTAGCCGCCAGAAGAGTAAAGGCCATACGGCCCCCCACCGCCACCACATCCGCCACCTCCACGAGAGCAGCCACCACACCGATTTTATCCGCCACCTTAGCTCCCCCCAACACAACACCTAAGGGTCTGTGAGGGTTTTGATTTCCCCCCGGGGGTGGGGAAGTGGGGAGGTGGGGAGGTGGGGGGGCCACAAGGGTTTGGGGCATTGGGGGGTGAAGGGGTTTCCCCCAGTACCGTCGGGGCGGAGGGGAAAGGCGAAGGTTGGGTGGACGGTTTGGGGGCATGACGGGGATGGGGGTGAAGGCAATGCGGGTGAGGGTACATAATATAGTAAAGGAGGAGGACACGAAGCGGGTGTGAGGTTCTTTAATTCGGTTCATGTGCGCGCATACAATTTTACGATGTGTGGCTGGTGATACCGTTACCGTTACCGTTGGGTTACTTAGCATTGACGCCGCCATCTATGTAAATCGCGCAACGCCAGATAGAGAGGGGGAAAGGGAATTACATGATATGCCAAGAAGAGAGCAGCATAACTTCTTCTTCCGCACTCGTTGATTTGCCGACCGGCGGTCGTACTTCGGGGTGCATTTTGAGGGCCGTACCGTACGGGGTCGTACAATCGGTCCGCCAGCTCGGCCAGCTCACGCCGAATGAGGGGCCCGGGATAGCGCTCTGGTACGAATGATGTGATGCCCTGCATATGCAGGTAGTTGGTACGCTTGATGTCGTTGGGATGGTTGAGGCGGTTGGCATGGCTGGGGCACTCCGTTGACGTCGTTGCGGTTGTTAGTTACCATCGTTAAAACGAAGTTCAGCTTTATGCAAGGAACACAGCACCACACACTCCTAGAAGGCAGAGACCTCGGCAGCTCATCGGAAGCTTGTCAGCAATATCGCCACATCGTTATGTCGTACAATAGCCCCCCGTCGTACACATCCGGCAACCGGTCATCCCCCAACCCACCACTCACGCACCGTGACGCTACCCTGGTCCCGGTGTACGACACCAAAGGCATCGTTCACGAACACGTCACACAGTGCAGCGAGCGCCCGGGCAAAGTCCTGCGAGTTTGCGGTATCCCCCGCGTGGAAGCGAGTGTTCTCCAAAAGGACTGCCTGCAAACACATGAACCTGAAAACGTCATGTCACTGTCGTATGATGATGTATGAAAAATCCACATGACGTACATGATCACGGTACGACAAAGCACGACAAGGCGTAGCACGGAACGGCAATACACGATGAAGCATGAGCGCAGCGCGCTTGTGCGAACATGTTAAACATATGCGAAGAAGAAGCATCACTGTTTATCTTAGGTTATGTCAAGAACTTATTGAGACCAACTTCATTACCGCCAACCTTCCTTGCCCCTAAACCCTACCCACCAGCACTGCTTTTTCCCACCTAACTTACCCACCCAAGGCCCCCAGGCACTGGGAATCCACCCCACCCCACACTCGCACTTGGCCTGGTTGGAGTCCCCCAACTGCTGCTTCCGCATCGGGCCCTATGCAGTCAGCCGCTAAGCCTCGGAAGGCTCCGGAACCAAGCTCCTCTTGGAGCAGCGCCGCAACCGGCCGGAGGCTGTACAGCGCTGCCATTTGCTGACGGGTCTGTTTTTTGGGTTCTGGTCGGCCGAAGTGGCTAGCGAGGATGAGTCGCGAGCCACGTTGCAAAAGGAGCTTGATGGTGGGTAAAACGGCTTTGATGCGCGAGGAGTCTGTCACGATGCCTGTGGCATCGTCCACTGGCACGTTAAAATCAACTCGCAGCAGCACGCGTTTGCCGGTAAAATAATCGGCTGACTTGGTTGCGATGTCAAGCTCGGGTGCTAACAGGTCACGGACCACATGTCGCAGTGGTCGCTGGGTTTCATAGTTAGATACAGCCATAAGCATGTTCTAGGGTTTGCTGGTCAAGTCTGAAGGTATAAGCTTAATTTCTTCACCTCCAAACATAACGCTCCGTCAAGCTTCGTTATGTGGAAAATTCTTGCCGAATAATACACAGTCCTACAAAAGATTCCTGCACCATAAGTCGCCAAGCTCATTCCCAGATCGGTATCGGTCAGGTGGAATAATCAGTTATCGAGCGAATATTTCCGTTAGTCGGGCAGAGCAAATAGGAGACGTTTGGTAAGTACTAAAGTATTTTATCCTCATTTTGTTCAGTGGACATCGAAAGCATCTGCTACGTACGGCGAGCGCATTCAGACGACCTGAAGTACTATGGCTCCTGTCAAAGTCCTACTCAATGGCTGCGGCCGGATCGGTAAGAATGTTCGCGGTCTTAACTTTAAACTAAAATAAATACATCCGAGCAAATACTTGGCTGTACTTTGCAAGTGCAGGCCGCCTCGCGTTTCGCATCGCCTGGTCCCAGCCTGAAATTTTTCAGTTCGTCCACTTGAATGACATCGCTGCTGTTGAGTCGGTTGCATATCTGCTCAAGTATGATTCAGTACACGGTGAGTCCTTTGGAGCGCACGGCGTGCTCCTGGCCCTGGACACGATCAGGCTCTGTGATAGCCTAATGCCACTTTACCATAAAAACACGAACAGGTTATATGGGCCTGTGGGTCGATTCGGGGAAGTTTCTGTCGTCGGGTCCCGTCGGACCTTTTTCCGTCCATTGGGGGCTAAGTCATAGGCTTGGCAGTTGCCTGACAAGCAACATCTCCTAAATTCATTACATCCTAATTTCATTTCTCTAACAGTCATGCCTTTCTTCCTCATACCTCCTGCTTTTTGATCACATTTCCGTCAGGCACCTGGGGCCCCGATGTCTCCGTGGAGGGCAGTACCATCGTCATCAAGGATGGCGACCGCGTTGACCGCATCCCCTACACCAACAGCAAGGCCATCGATGGGGTGTGTGGTTGTGGCTGAGAAGAGTCTGTGACGTTGCCCGGCGGATGGCTAAATAATGTGACTGAAATGAAATGCGCCCTTCCGTTCCACCCCCGCCTTTAGTTGCCCCCCGCCTGCCGGATTATCCTATCACACTTGATGTGCTTCAGCAAGGCCTTTTGCACGAGCCCAGCTGCCCACGAGCCCAACTGCTAACCGTCGCTACCCGTTTTTCTCCAGATCACCGTGACCGAGGGCGTTACCGTTGACATGGTGTATGAGTGTACGGGAGTTTTCCTCACGCGTGCCAAAATCGCGCCGTACTTTGATCATGTTGGCGCCAAAAAGGTGGTGGTTTCGGCGCCTGTCAAGGACACCCCGCCGGTGCTGAATGTGGTGGTTGGGTGCAACGAGGTACGACTTAGATATTGGTCCGTCGTTGTTACCCAAGTGCTAAGTGCAATGGTGTCCATGCAATTCCTGTTGTTGTCAACAACGATGTTGTTACTGCGCGCCACTGCCATCACCATCATCATCACCATCATCATCATCATCATCCCCCGGACAAGCTGCTGATTATAATTTTGGTAATGGACAGACAGACGGACAGAAACACTCGCACGTATGATCAGGCAACGCATGTGTGTATGTGTTTCGTCTGAGCCGATGTTTGTTTTTTGTGCTATGTGGCGTCTGTTTACTACTACCGTGAAGGACATATTTATGATAAGGAATGTCGTACCTGACGTGCATATAGTTTGTATAAACCGTCGCCGTACATCGTACAGGACAAGTACAACCCCGCGACGGACCACATCGTGACGGCAGCGTCGTGTACGACAAACTGCTTGGCTCCGGTAGTTAAGGTCGGTGGGTTATCTCCTCCATAGGGGACATACAATCTTGGACTCATGGGGGGAGTTAGGTATTCGGTTGCCATGTTGTGGTTGACGGTTGACAGTTTTTATTACAGCACATGCATATTCGTATATGCTGGGTTGCAAAACCGCTTTTCAGTTGTGTAAGGTTGGTGTATTGCATATCATTTAGAAAACGGAACGTACACTGTACACTATGGGAAGGTTGCGAGTCTAGAGTTCGTTTGTATGTGTATATGTAGGCGTTGGAATGACAAATGTAAGAAGTTCTCCCTTTGGGAGGACGGAAATTGAAAGACCACCGACGATATGCATACGTACGTACGTACATACATACCTACGTACGTACATACATACATACACACGTACAGTGCCGTCGTAGTGCGGCTAACAGGTATCAGGGAGCGGGTCCCGAGGTCAGAAAGATAGGAGGAAAGCGAACACAAGAAGGGGGGTGGGGTGGGGTGGGGTGGGGGATTAGCGCTGAGGCGGTTGGAATATCCACACGTAACATTGCACGGCATGTGAAGCTATGCGTTAGCTCTTGGAGGCTATGTCTTGTATGTTTGTATGTTTGTATGTTTGTTGGATATGCGGTGGCGGCATAATATGTTGGTGCCATCATCGCAGGTGATCCACGAGAAGCTGGGCATCGACCGAGGCTGCATCACCACCATCCACAATCTCACCAACACACAGGTAAGCAAACTGTACAGCTGTACGGCAGACAGCCGTACTCACCTGACAGGACAGGTACAGGTATTGCCGGCTTGTGTGTGCTGAGGGAATCGGAGGATATGGGAGGGGGAGCAAGGTCGCGTGCGGCTGCGGGATGTGGAGTTTCCTTAAGTTGTATGTGCGTATGTACGTCCCGGCAGGATTTGAGCCACAGTGAAGGTTCAGCCCGTACAACCTACCGACGTCAACCCGCTTAGCCTACATGGCCATCCCCCCGCCCCCCACACAAAGACACAAAAGCTCTTATTAAGTTATAAAACCATAGACCGCTTTCCTCTTTAACGCACCATTCCCCAACTCACTGTGTTTCAGACAATTGTGGACGCGCCCAACCCCAGGAAGGCGGATTTGCGCCGAGCCAGGTGGGTCGTGGGTGAGGGGGGTGGGGAGAGTGGTGGGGGGGGCGGAGGCCCGTTTCATCCCGGCCGCAACCTTTCCGCCATTACTATTCCAACTCACACGCACACGCACACGCACACACATACATTGTGATTTTGAGAAACGCCCTGCCCTACTGCACCTCACCGCCACCTCACCGCCACCTCCGGGGGCCGTTCCACCACCGCGTCTGGATCCGATCTGGAGGATTTCTTCCTCTTGAGGTACCCCATTTCTACCTCGTCCCCCTCCCGTGCCATGGTTGGGTCAGGGGTGTGTTAGGTGGGGGACTTAGGGAGGGGCACTTGCATGTTTACCAGCAGCAAACCAGCCCAAGTATTGCTCACTACTTCCGCCGTTACTTACGCCTTACGACTCACGTCATCTTCCGATAAATTCTCGTGCTAACTCTTGCTCTTAGCTCCCCGCACTCAGCCTGTTTACCTGTTCACTGCTGCGGTCTCCTCCTTTCGCTGTTCCGCTTTCAGTAAGTACGGTTTTTCTCCTTGGTCTGGGCGGCTATGTAGTCATTTCGCCGTTTCGCCGTTGTACTTTGGCTGCTAGTAACTCGTTCGCAACCTAGCTAGCTGGCCACGTCGCCGCGATGGTCACTTCACGAGTCGATGCCGGTTGGTAATTCCTTAACATATTCCTTAACATATTCCTGATGTCTGATGATCTGCATATCATAGCCCGGGTATCAGCGTCAATCGTCTGTGGTTCGTCCTCCCTCCCACGTTTCCCGCAACCCCCCTCACCCCGCAAACCCCCCCCACACCCCGCAAACCCCCCCCCACACCCTGCAAACCCCCCCCCACACCCCGCAAACCCCCCCCCACACCCCGCAAACCCCCCCCCACACCCCGCAAACCCCCCCCCACACCCGCCACCCCACATCGCGATGGTCGTCACAGCAATCCCCCACCAACCCAGCCACCCCGCTTGGTTGACTCCCTCCCACCTCGCAACCCCCCTTCCTGCTTCGACACCCTTTCGACACCGTGAAATCCTATCCCCCTCTCACGCGCCCACCATCCTTACCCTAAGTCCTCCTCGTGCACTTCTAGGATCCCTACCCATCCTCCTGCGGCGAATGTCGTCCTCTCCCGTTATCTCCTCCTCTTCCTCGTGTCCCGGTGTCCCCCTCCTCCCCCCCCCTTCTTAGGTCCGGTCTTGTCAACCTGGCGCCCACGTCGACTGGGAGCGCGACCGCCATCGCGCTCATTTTCCCAGAGCTCAAGGTAGTTCGAATGTCGTACGTTATCTACATACATACACAAAGGACGGCTCGCATGCGCAGCATGTGCAGTAAGGGGGGCGAGAGAGGGTTTCAGAGCGCCTGGGGGGGGCGGGGTCAACAGTATGGGTGGTGGGGTGTTGGGAACCTGGGCAATTGGGAGGATGTGTGTACGTGTGCGTGTGCGTTGGGGGAAGGAAGGCTGTAACGAGGCAGGGATTCTTGTAATGAAAGTACGGCACCGTGCATGGGCCTGCGAACCCCCCTCCCCACCCTGCGAACCCCCCTCCCCACCCTGCGAACCCCCCTCCCCACCCTGCGAACCCCCCTCCCCACCCTGCGAACCCCCCTCCCAAGGGCAAACTCAATGGCCTGGCGGTGCGTGTCCCCTTGACCAACGCCTCCATCACGGACTGCGTGTTCGATGTGAAGCGCGGGACTACCGAGGCGGAGGTCAACCAGCTGCTCAAGGTGGGGTGGAGGGGGAAGGGGTAAGGGGGAAGGGGGGAGAGGCGCTGTAGAGTTACCTCGCTATGCTCTGTTCACTAGTTAGCTCCGTGATACGGCAATA